TATGGAGCAGTGCATCCAGCTCTGGGAACCCCCAACAGAGGAAGGACATGGAGCTGTTGGAGCAAGCCCACAGGAGGGCCATGAAGATGGTCAGAGGGCTGACCAGACGGTCAGAGCATCTCTCCTATGAGGAAAGGCTGAGATAACTGTGGTTGTTCAGTCTGGAGAAGACTTTGGGGAGACCTTATAGCAGCTTTCCAGTACCTAGAGGGGGCCTACAAGAGAGCTGGAGAGAGACTTTTTGCAAGGACATGTAGGGGTAGGACAAGGGAGAATGGCCTTAAACTGAAAGAGGGTAGATTTATATTAGATTTTAGGAAGAAATTCTTTACTGTGAGAGTGGTGAGGCACAGGAACAGGTTGCCCAGAGACGTTGTGGATGCCCCATCCCTGGCAGCCTTCAAGGCCAGGCTGGATGGAGCTTTTAGCAACCTGATCTAGTGGAAGGTGTCCCTACCCATGGCAGGGGGGTTGGAAATAGGTGATCTTTAAGGTCCCTTCCAACCCAAACCATTCTATGACTCTGTGATCTTCTCCCACGTGGCTTGGCCATATTCCAAATGTTACCTATGCATCAGACACTAGGCTTACAAGACCTTTGAGAAGTGGTAGGGAGCCGCTTAGCAGGCAGTTTATGATCACATGCTTCTCAACATCTGCACCTCACTCTCTTCAGGAAGGATTTGGAGGTTTAAGGGTCTGTTTAATTCATGAGGCAAATCATTCGGGGCATGGAAAAATCAGGGAGAGTGTCCTACAGGTGTCCCTTTGGACTGCAGCAAAGCAAAGGAGGGTTTCACGGTTCCTGCAGGGAAGCAGATTTTCAACACTGCAGACTTTCTGCAGGCAGTGTCAGTCCCTCAGCTGATCGCATTGGCACACCAGAGCTCAGCCACTGCGGCACAGGGCTGAGTTAAGGCAGTGATTTGCTTTGCTGGCCAAGAGCCACCCGCAGGCACTGCTAAAATTCACTGGTGCTTCGGTGAGTTTGAAGATGCATTTGCAAACCTGAGGAGTTCTCTGTTGACAAGGACACGGTTGCTTTGGGCCCAGTGGGTCTGAATGTGTGTGGGAGCGCCACTGAGAGGTAATGAATGGGACACGTGCCTGGCTGCTGCGTGCTGTATGCCACCACATCCAACAGATGGAGGCTCTGGGTCTTTGTGGACAGTACAGTCTGTGTCAGTGGCTTTTGCAGCAAAAGATGGCTTGGTAGCAGAGCACCTGCTGCTCTGTCCTGTTGGAGGAGGAGGGGGACCAGATTGCATCGGCCGAGGAGCCTCTGGCTCCTGAGGAGAAGGAGAATCAAGCCCTGCCAGGTTTAAACTTGTTAACTCCAAAAGAGGAAAAAGCACAACACAGCACCAGTAGCATTGTCTCGATTTTCTTTTTTCCCCCCCATCTCATTGTAACTCTGGATATCATGACTGCAGTTTTTGATCAGTAATCATCCCTTGTTATGAGAAAGAGCGTGATTTCTTCTGGAACTTTTGCTGAGTTTGGCTGAGAGCCATTGAGGCTGATCTGTGAGACCCCTGAGAGCTGCAGCTGCTGTGGGCAGCGCTGCTCCCTCCCTCTGCTGAGAGACCCAGAGGTGTCCAGTTAGGCGCAGTCACGCACTCGGGAGGATCCAGGCGGGTTCACTTCCTTCCCTCCCGCTGTTTGATGTCTGTCAGGATCTTGGGAGGCAGACAAGACACGAAACCTGGCGTGCATTGACGTTGCTGTCGCAGGAGCTGGCAGAGGTAGGAGCAAGGCTGAGAGCGAGCCAGGACAGGGGGAAGTGAAGTTGGTGGTTGTCTAGAAAATTGGTGTTGCTTGCTCTTCCTTGCTTAGCACAGGGCTGCCTGATATATTCCCCACTGATTTGCAGCCTGGGGAGCCCCAGAAGCTCCTGAGAGAGGGGGACCAGAAGCAATCCTTTCTCTCCCCAATGGCAAATTGAGCTCCAGCCTCGTTAACATGCACCAGCCTATTCCTTCTGTCAACTTCACGCTGTGTAATGATTTTATGCTTAGTTATTCTGCATGCAAAAGCTTAAATAGGTGAAGAATATAGTGATTCCCTCCCTGGGCAGTTAGCTGCAGACTGACTTCTTACCTCCTTCTGAGCACACATCCAGGTGCTGGGTCTTTTAGCCTCTGCTGTTTCTGAACTGTCTGGAATGGAGCAGTCAGTTAAAATTTTCACTTGCGAGTATGGTGGTTTTTTTTAGTAGATTTTTCATGTGAGGGAAATAGGTTTGAAGATTTGCTAAAAGAAGTGAGTAGTACAGAACAGAATGGAATAGATTTTGTGCAGAATCAAGATACTGCTGTTCAGATCCCTGCCTCTCTGTCATTTTTAAATGTCCCCCAAGGATGTGCTCCAGAGATTTCTGTAATGGCCCTTTCCCACTTATAAGGCCAAGCTGAAAGCAGGGAAGGAGCTGAGTGCTGCCTGAGCCATTAAGCAAGTGTTAGTACTGAAGGACCAAGATGGTGCAGCTGCATTTCCAGCTTCCTGGTCCTGCCAAGCAAGAGATCTTGCAAGAGATTTTTGTGATGAGAGGCATGCAATAGCACCAGCTCACAGCAAGCACTGTCATCCCATTAAGCAAGCACTGATTTTTCTTTTAAGTTCTGAGTGGAGCTTAAAACAACTCAGGTTGAGATTCAGGTTTTTTGTTTCTTTCAAAGATGGGAAGACTGCTGTCAGGAAAACTTTATAGAATAATATTTAAGCTTCATGTTATTTACAATATGATTTGTGACTTGCAAAGGGTAGAGAAATCACAAATATTTTCACTATTGCCCCCCTGCATCTTCACAAACAGCATGTTTTGAAGCATTTGTAAGTCATATGCTATCAGTCTTGCTGCTTTCGTGCCCTTTCCCTATTCATCTTTCTTGCACTGCAAGACAGGAGTGGAATAAATTTTGTTGTTGAGCTTGTGCTCCCTCTCCTGGATAGCGACTTCTACAGCAATAGCACAAAATGAGGTTCATCCAAGTGCACTAAGTATGGTAGATCAACCTGCCTGTCCATCCCAGCCCCTCCCACACTTCACTCCCAGGAAGGAAAAAGCTTATAGGCTCTCCTAGTTTTGTTCTCTGAAGTCAGCTTTGGGATAGTTTTTTTGTGCACTTGTGCCTCTTTTTTAGCGTCTTTCTTGGCTTTTCCAGCACCAAGTTGTAACACAGCAGCATCTCGATCTAGGAAACCCACGACACTGTGGAACTAGGAAAGCACAAATAGTGGATATGAAATTAGGGTCAAGAGGTTTCCTTTCTCACTCATTAGGGTTGGAAATACAATGTAACAAATAATTTTCTGTTCACATGAAGACAGGATTGTTTTGCGAGCATTTTGAGTCATTGCTTGTGTTTCCTTGAAAATTGAGCCCTAGGCAAAAATCTGAAGTATTCCAAGTTGAGCACTATCCCTTCAGTCAGCCAGGCAAAGGAAAGCTGCTGTAGTCAGGGAATGTCTGAGCGGTTTCTCAGTATTTCTTCTGCCGTCAGGCTTGCAGGCTGCTCATCAGTCTAATTCCTTGGGATTTCTCAAATGCAGAGGTTAGAATGAGCACTGCACTTTTGAGACTCTGATACATACCAGCATAAGTCTGTGTCTTCCTGAGTTCCTCACTAAAGTGTCCTTGACTTTTACAGAAAATCTGTAAAAAGGCAATGTCAGGTCAAGTTAAAGCAAATATGTATTTCTTGCAGAGGAAAAAAATAAAAAAACACCTTACAAAGTCACAGATTCCTAAAAACCTCTAAGATAAGAACTGCTTGTCTTTGAGTTTGTCACTATCAAAAGACACCAATATAAATTGTATTATATTTAAAAACCAACATCAAACATGTACCAGGTGGTTTTATTGTCATGAAGAGAATGGCCATGAGTAAATAGCCAGTGAAAAAGGCTTTAAGCAGCATTTCTTTCAGGAGTTCAGAGTGCAGTCAGCTTTGCTATTCAGTATTTGTATTTTACCTCCTCCCATTTTTCCACTCTCCCTCTTGTACTTCAGTGATGGATGTCCATTCCTCCCATCCTTTTCTATTTTTCTGTTTTCTAGGGGAAAAAGATGTAATCATCCTCGGAGATTTTAACCAGGCCCCAGACAGCAGTGACCATGACATCCTGAGGAAGGAGAAGTTCCATCACCTGGTCCCTTCCAGCACCTTCACTAACATCAGCACAAAGAACCCACAAGGGTCCAAGTCGCTGGACAACATCTGGATCAGTCGGAGCTTGAAAAAGGTTTTCACAGGTACAGTTGCTTTTTAGTGAGGCTGTGTGACCTCTAGTTAGGTTAGCAGTTTGTGTCGAATTTGGGCAGTGTTACTTACCTTTTTCTCTGGTTCTTTTTGATGCAGGTCACTGGGCTGTTGTGAGAGAAGGGCTTACAAACCCATGGATCCCCGATAATTGGTCCTGGGGTGGGGTGGCTTCAGACCACTGCCCAGTGCTCGCTGAATTTTACCTGGAAAAGGACTGGAACAGGAAGGAGGTGACACGGAATGGGAATGGGGTGACGGTTGAAAGGAACGACTCCCACACTAAGCATGAACGATGACGTGAACTTGAGGGTGCCTCTTCTGCTACCTAGGGAGCAGTCAAAAGCTCTGCTCACTCACGGCTCTGTGGCAGAGCAGGACTGGCTTTCCCTCTCCCTCCTTCCTGCTCTCCTCCCTGCGCTTAGAAAGCATCAGCACTTCTTTTCAGTGGCCCTGGCTCTGTTCCCCTCCTGGACCATTGTGGACAGTGTCTCATGGCAGCAGAGCAATCTGCAACTTTTTCTGGGGACGCAGTGGACATTTCCACACCTGGAGATTTGGATGAGAATTGTACAGAAAATAAAATGTACTTTTAATACTGTACAGGATCTTGACTAAAATGCAGCTGAGCGGGGCTTTGCTGTGAGGGTGAGGTGGGTGTGATGGTTATTTTCCTTTGCCTCTTTGTAAATTGAGGTAATAAGAGAAGCCCCAAAAAGAGAGAGACAGTGGAAATTCTTGGCGGCTTGCAAATGCCTTGCAAAAGCTGCCAGAGCAGGTCCCTTTGTGACCTGAAGTGAGATCTGAGTGGTCCCCCCGCTCAACCTTCATTGCTGCATAAGCCTGGTCCAGTCACTGTGATGTGGAATCTAAATACAGTGTATGGTTATCATGCATATGGCAGGGATGGGGTCTGCTTCTAAGGAGGTTTGGTTCAGTCCTGGCTCGGGGACACTTCAGTCAGGACCCTGCCACAACAGCACTGGGAATGGAGCATTAAAATTGCCACCTACGTGATTTTTTTCAGTAACAATTAATAAACAATTCTAGTGACCCAGAAGGGAAACATACCAGGACTGGAAAAAGCAATTCAGCATCTGCAAGAGAAATTGGTGGAGTGTGAAAGGCGCTGAGCTGCCCACTGACCTTCTGCTCTGGGCTGTAGATGACCACACATTTTGCTGCTGAGCAGCAAGGGAAGTTCTCTGGCATGACTCATTGAGTTATAAAGGGAAAACTACTACTGCCAGCGATGCCAGAACAAAGGAGATTTAGTAACTGAGGGGTATAGAGTAAACAGTACCATATTCTTGCAGCATTTGAGATATCATCTCATTTCTAACAGCTCAATAGCCATAATAAACAACTCATTTCTCAACAACTAAATAAATTCACATACAAACACGCACAGTTCAACAGCTTTTCTGTCTGTATGCAAAACTAAATCCAGAACAAGGTGGAATAATCTGGAGGTGACTCTCAGACTGAGGGAAGTTTCATGGACGTTTCAAGACTAAAACCTCAGAGCATCAGACCAAAAAGGTATCTTTAGTTGCTTGCCATTCCCTGTTGAAAATGGGTGGTGCAGGCATTTGTCTCTGGTCATTAAAGAAGCCAGTGGGAGATCTTTGCTCCAGCTTTATTCTGGGTTCTTGCTGCTGCTTTGTCCTTTCCAGTCAGGCACAATTTTGCTGCCCTTAACTTGAGCAGCACCAGATCCCCCAAGAAACTCTCGCTGGATCACTGCAAAATACAGGTGAAGACACAATAGACTTGCCTTTGTCAAATAAATATCACATGAGGTGAGAGGCAGTAAAATTCCCAAAAATGCACTCACTCTCTTATATCAGCTAGTGTTAGGTAGGGTTTCCCTACTATAAATATATTTGGAGGCTGGAATGACTTTATAGATCTAGAAATAAAACTCAGAAGGGCCAGATCCCATTTGTTCTGCTGCAGATGTAAATAAATGCCGAGGCACCAAAGCCTAGAGAATGACCTGCAGCCTTCTGTGTGGGTGATTGTCTGCAAGCAGCAGTGCTCACAGGTGCAGTAAGAACCAATGAGTTGCCTATTAGCAAGGGCTGCTGGTGGGAAAACAGCGGAGTCACCTTCATAACCCACGTGTGAGCTGTAGGGAAGGTTAATGAGGCTGGTCTGTAGCCCGGAGGTTGCTCAGCCTAATGGAGAGCTCTGGAAAGGTGGTTATTTGGTGGATAAAAAGATGCCTTGGAGTAAGATGGGCCCTACAGAGTCAGAGGGAAGAAGATGGAGAAGTTGGATACCCACAGGTGGAGTTCTGCCTTGAATGGAGCATCTGTCTGAGGTATGTGCCTGGTTACTTCATGTTGGCAATCAGTAGTGCCTCACAATCTTGGTGGTTTCACTCTTGTTTAAACAGCTTGCTTTGCCTGCTTTTTGTGACATCCTTGGAGGAGGATGCGGTGGTTGTGAGCCTGATGGATATTGGAGTTCCCAAGAACATCTGTTGTGTTGTGGTTGTTCAGAAACTGAAGTCGTGGCTGTCTCCCTCCTGCAACTGCAGGCGCCAACCCAAATAGCAATTTTATTTCAAGATGTTTCTAATAGAAGCTGAGCTGGCCCAGATTTCTGCAGCTTTATTGCCCAGGCAGTGCCAAGGCTGGCAGCAGCAAAGGAGGTGGCACAGAACCAGTGAGCCTTTCCTGCAAAAGGCCAGATACAGGCTCTACACCTTACACATTTTGGGGTTTAACTTTTCTTAAGGCAATTCATCTTGCCTGCACACAGTGATGTTTGGTGGAGCTCTTCTTTGCCCACTGCATGTGGAGCCTGGCCACTTACTTACAAGGAAGTACTGCCTCTTTCCTCCTCCTGACACATGCCAGCCTCAGACCTCCCCTGGACAGGTGACGTGGTGGTGGCTGATGCACAGCACGTGGTCCCTGCAGTGTCCTGTGGGGCTTTTTAGAAGAACTTATTTGGCAAATGTCCATTTGGTCACTTGGCTTTGCAGTGTTGTTGCACTGCAGTTTTGCAAACCATCTAAAAAAATGGAGGTGTAATACAGGAGGAACAATTTGGAGAGCTGCTAAAAACCTCTGAGGAGCAAACATGACTAAATATATATCCTGGAGATGAACTTTCTAGAACCATGTTGTGGCAGAAGTGAGTGGAAGCTTAATCATAACCAACCTTGGTCTTGGCACTCTTGAGCCTTTGTGGGAGTCAGTACTCAGTGTTTCTAGAAAATTACAGAAATGGGTCAGCCCAGGGGATTTCATGGTTTTCCTGGATATCTAAATGCCTCCTTCTGGGATTGAGTTGATTTTTGATTTTAAAACTGCTGTCTTGAAGGAGCGTGCTGGCCATGGGCAGGAGCCTAAATGTGATAGGAAGCAAAGCTCCTAGGGACAGCAGCTGCTGTTCACCAGGAACGCTTAGGGTCATGAATTCAAACACTCAGAAATTAGGGGGAAATGTCCCATATTTAGCTCATGAGCATTTCATTAGCTGCAGGAAGCAAGGCAAAACCATGAAGGCATTTCCTGGCCTCTGCCTCCCCTTTCAGAGTTCACACTTTCATACGGAGTTTCTAGATGGGAAAAGCTTTGTAGGAAGGAGGCTTACATTCATCTGTGTTTCCAAAGGAAAACACAAAGTTCTTCCCCATGTGAGGAGTTACACTGGCTGTGAATAAGGGCTCTCGTGGGAAACACAGCTTGCAGCAGCTTTTTTTATCCCCAGAAGAGATGCAGCAGTGGGTCTGTGTGAACTTGCTGCCCTCAGGGTGACTTGAGGGCCTTGCCAGCAGGCTGCACAGCTCTCAGTCACCATTCAGCAGTTCGGGGTTGTGTCCCACGTTCTGCAGAGCAGGACACAACCACAGCTGCAGATGGAGCCCTCATCTGCTTACTGTTTTTTTTTAGGTTTTTGAGCCGTGAGTAACTCTGTTATCTGGAAGTAAGAAAGTTCCAGTGTAAAATCAAAGTAGCTAAAAGGACTTACTCCAGAGTACCCACAGGTTATGTGTACACTTAGGAAATACTGTGGGTGAATGACCCTTTGATGACCTGTCTTTCTGGCCATCTCATAACACTGCGTGATATGTTCCCAGGCTGAGGAATGTCCAAGTGTTATCTGTTTATCAGCTGTGTGAAAGGCCTCATTTAAAGAGAAAAAGAAATGGAATGTGCACAGACTTGAATTGCAGTGTTGCTCAAACTTTGTGTGAAGACACAAGGAGCACCAGCACCAGGCTCTCGGAGCACTTTCCCACCAGTTTGAAGGTTAATGGCCTTCAGGAAAGCTCTTCCTTCTCTAGACCATTGCTTGAGACCTCCTTAATCCCTTGGCACAGTGGTAGACGAGAGGGGCTGCCTTGCAGCTGAATGGTTACTTTCCCTGCTCCTGTTCCTATTGCTTGAAGTTATCAGCCTGCTCCCACAAGTTCACTCACATATGTGCCTGGCTGGGCACCTCAGTTCTCTTACATAGTCTCATTTGGGGGAACCTTAACCTGATTCCCTCAGCTGTAGGACTATTACTCCTTTTCCTCGTAATTTTGTGGTCATGTCACTCTTCCTCTTTGTACACGAGGCTTTCCCATCTGCTTTAAAGGGACCTCTCACCATGTCCTCATCCACCCAAGTGCTCCCTTGGGTCAATAAGGTGCTGGAGGGAGAAGCATTTTTGCTAGGTTTCCTCCTGCCTTCTGGCCTGTGCCTGGGGGGATGTATGGAGGCATCTGTGCAGACCCAAAGGGTGGCAATACTGGTCAGCTGATACACACAGTGCTTTTCCCTGTCTGTCACCTCTGGGACATGGAGAGTGGTACGCCCTGCTTGTAGCAGCGTACTCTGCATGTAGCAGCATGCTCTGCTTTATGCTCAGAATTCAGCCTGTCCCAGCAGGCTGGGGACCCGCAGTAGCTCCTTTCTGTCTGCAGCAGGAGGATGGTGATGTAACTGTCAGGGCTCCAGGTTGGAAACGTGTGACCAGAGCTACACTTTTTCACTTCAAAACAGAAGGAAAAGGATCTCTTTTGCTCTTACTACAGCTGGGCACCTGTGCAGGAGCCTCAAAGAATTGGGGAGGGTAGAGGAGATATGTGAGAGATTGCAAATGGGGGGATAGCAGGAGCATCGGCAACAAATCGGCAGGAATGGCATGGGGGTTCCCTGAAGTGACTCATGCCTAGGACATAGCTGCAACATGGGGGGTCCTAAGGAGAAGGGTGGAGAAATGTCTGACCAAGGATGCTGAGAGCTGGAAGAGTGTGGGGCTGAGAGGCTGGGAAAGGCAGAGGGATGGAGATGAGGGAGCAGATGGAGGAGTGAATCAACAGCTGGAGGCTTCTCCACATGGTCCTATGTGCTCGGTGACAAATCTTGCCCAAGCCTGGAAAAGCTTCTTTGCTGAAATCTGTAAAGGAAAATCAGAATTACAGGGGATCTCAGCTTTACAATAGTGCCAGGAGAGGAAGGGGAAGAGGTTGACTTACAGATCACCTGTGGATTTTTTGGTGGATGGGAGTGAATTGACTTACTTTCTAGGCTTGGAGATGCATGATGTGGTAGCGAATATATTCCTTAGATAAAAAGGAAGGTGAAGGACTAGGATTAAAAAAACACAGCCTGAAAGATGAGTGCTAGAGTCCAGGACAAAAGTCGAACAGGAGAAATAAGGCAGTAAGCTGGAGGAAAGAGCCTGACAAGTCTCTTGTTTGGGATGCGGCACAGGATGGAAATCAGGCCCTGATGTTTATACTTGAGACCCTCCAAGCGCCATTTTCTGGGTGTTGCTGGGACAGGAGCTGGACATGAGCCCAGCTCTGCTGTATCAGAGTAGCTGTGCAGGGGGCTGGTGTTGGCATGTGCTTCTCCAAAGCCCCCCAGCACCACACAGGCCAGTGGAAAAGGTCCCTGCAGGGAGGTGTCCGCCCTGCAGCATGACTGGAGTGTGGTGGCCTGGAGCCAGCCACTCCTGTTCACTGGCTGCATTTCTCCCACCACTGAGTTTTGTCGGTAATTTTTTTTTTTATTTTCAAAATTTTTTCTATTCAACCCAATCCTGCTCACTCATGTAAGCCCTATCTGTGTGGTCTCTATCCATGTTCTTGCCTGCTTCACATTGTGGCCAGTGTAGTTCTAACTTCAGCCTCAATTTCTTTGTTATCCAAAGAGCTGAAATAATGCTGTATTTCACCCTGTTGGTCCTTAGAAACTTCAGGAAAAGGTGCTTAAAGTGTCTAAGAGGCACTATGTGATTTGGGAAGATAAAAAAATATTTCAGCAGCACCGTAAGAAATTAATTTAGACAACTTTAATGGGAAGGTTGTGGCTATGCCTTGAAAGGTAATTCTGATGATATCTTTTCATTATTGAATCAATGTAAATGAATGGGCTTAAAATTCAATATCCAGATTTTCTGGATTTAATCTAATATAGACTTTCAGTTCATGAGAAGTCTGTAATTGTTCAGCAAAGCCAAAACAGATTCTCCCTTGTCTATTAAAGATACACGATCTCATTTTAAATTGCACACTAAAAAAAAATTGGTGTTAATGTATTATGAAAATTATTAAGACATTTTTAAATGAACATACCCTTAAAAAAACCAAAACAACCCCCAACCAACCATCAAAACAAAACAAAACCAGAACGAAGAATTGTTCCATGTGTTTCCTTTTCCCTTTCTCATGGCTTATACTGGGTCTCCCTCAGCTTCATCCTGACTTATGTGTTGTCAGATTTCCATCCTGGTTTCCAACATAAATGACTTCCATCTTTCTTTTCTTTCCAGGCAGGTAGGAGTAGAGAATCTTGGTGCTCAGGTTGCTTCTGGAACTGCTGGCAGGGCATCCAGCATCACAGGCCTGGCATTTGAGTGTAGCAAAAAAGCTTTCAGAGTTGCAGTAGTCCTGCAGGTAACCTGTAACAAATGTGAAATGTACTCAGTACTGAACTATCCCTGCCCAGCAGTGCTCAAGCACTGTGTTTCACCCTACTGACACTGTAGAAGGGCTGTCTGGGATACACTAAGCAAGGGAGAAGAGTGGTGATTTGGGAGCCTGTGGAGGGGACAGATTTCACTCTCTAGCGAGTGAGGGGGAATGTGGTGTGATAATATTTAGCAGTATTGCAAGACACATCAGCTAATGACTTTTAAAGCGTTTCCATTAGAAAGAACCTACAACCCTTAAATGTTGTCCTTACTTATACATGAGGGAGCTGAACCATAAGGAGACGACAGGGCTCCCTGGAGATAAGTAAGCACATTTTAAATGTGAGAGGATGGATGGCGCTGAGAAATGCATCACACAGCAAAGTGGCTCCAATGCTGCCT